AAAATACATCCTGCCTATCAGATAGTTACATGATAATGCATAACAGTAGCAAAATGACAGTGATGAAATAGCAACGAAAAATAATGTTATGGTTGGGGCTCACCACCACACAAGGAGCTGTATGAAAGGGTCACGGCATTAGGAAGGTTGCGAACCACTGACTTAGGGAGACAATTCTAAACATGTTGTCCAGTGCCCACATGCGTGCACACACACAACTGGGTTTCTGTTTGCTGTCTTGCTTTCATTCATCTTTCACCCATTCATCAAACGTTTCCTGAGCGCCTCAAAACATGTCCCAGGCATAGGTAGAAGAGCACAGATGTGAATAAGGCAGGCCCCCACATCAGACTCCTGGGTGCCCACCCAGACACCCGCGTCAGAACCCGGGCACTCATTCCCTGGCTAAGATCTCCCAGCTAAGTCTCTCCTCCCAGCGATGGCCCTTGGCTGAGGAAAGCCAGTTTGTCTAAGGTCATGTGCCCTCCTTGGATGTAGCTCACATCTAATAAAGGGTCAACAGCACCTGCTTGAATTCAGGACAGCGTTGAAGGGCCATCGCTCCTGGGGACTGGCTAAGACCGTGGGAGTGACTGTACTGCTGCTGATGGCCTCTCCCTTGGCCTCATTCCCTGCTGGGGTTACTTCCCAGGAGATAAGCCTGTTTTCCCACAAGCCCCTGCATGCAAATCATCTCCGACTGTCTCCCAGGAAACCCTGTCCTCGTAAAACTGCCATTTGGTGGGAACTATAATTCAGAATGAACACCAATAAGCAAAATGAATGAGTTGCCACAAATCAAAATTACACAGGAGGCTTAGGAAGGTCCGTGAGGGACTGATCATAAATCATTGAACTGTAAACATTTCCATGCAGATTAAAGCAAAATAAGGCTATAACGATAATCATGAATAAAATATCCAGAAGCAATAAAGGGGTGGTGGTAGAAATTCCATATATTTAATGATAGAAGTAAATTCCCATTTAAACACACACACACACACACACACA